CTCCTTGTGCTTTGTTCTTGGGGGCGAATTTCACTCAGTGGGATTTTAAGTCAGTGCATATGAATATTTAAAAATTCTTGTGATGTTTTGTCAGTTTACCTCTTCAGCAAGGTGTATTCAGTTTTCAGTGATGTGTTGAGGTGGATAGAGTTTTTCCGCTGTTTTGCTGTCATTGTTTTTACGATGGTGTTAATTTTATTTTTTGATGGGAGTTTAATAATATTTTTTTATCTGCATATTTTTCTTGTTCAATTATTTATGTTTCACATCTGTGAAGTACATTATCCGTGTACTACTTAAGTGAGACTGGTTATTTATATAGGGTTTTAGTTGTTTAAAAATCAGCTTTAAATTTTTCCCTGATAGTTCAGTTGGTAAGGAATCCGCCTGCAATGCAGGAGACCCCGGTTCACTTCCTGGGTCAGGACGATCCACTGGAGAAGGGATAGGCTACCCACTCCAGGATTCTTGGGCTTCCCTTGTGGCTCAGCTGGTAAAAAAAATGTTTGCAGTGCGAGAGGCCTGGGTTTGTTCAGTCCCTGGGTTGGGAAGATCCCCTGGAGAAGGGAAAGGCTACCCACTCCAGTATTCTGGCCTGGAGAATTCCATGAACTGTATAGTCCATGGGGTCACAAAGAGTCGGACACAACTGAGCGACTTTCACTTTTAAAAATTTTTGCACCTTATATTTATTACTTTTCCCCCTTTGCTTTTTTTTTTTTAAACTTCTTTGGGTCATTTCTCTTGTTCTGAAACTCCTCCAAATGGAATTCAAGGGTCCTAAACCTGGGAGGAGCTTTGGGAATACCGTGGTTCTGCAGGGATTCTGAACCCAAGGATGGAGGTGGGGGGCAGAAACCGGGGACATGAATTCTCCTTTCTGCGCAATCCAGTGGACTTCCTCCTGAAGGAGGCTTACATATGTTGGTCCTTGAGCTGGGGTGGAGTTGGCAGAAGGTTGCACGTCATCGCCCGTGAGTTTCAGCTCCGTATTTGACATCGCAGTATGCAGCTGTCTGCTTTTGTGGTAGAGCAGAACCACTGCTTTACGGAACCCTCCCTTTGGCCTTGGTTATCTCGGTGCTTCTCCTGCGCCTTGTTTTCCGTGTCCTACTGCCCTCATACGCTCTGCGCGCCGTGAGGGCAGGGCCGTCAGTGTGAGATCCCAGTGGCCTAGCGCAGTCCCTAGCTGGTACTTGATGTTTAGTTTTGGTTGTCAGATTACAAAATCACAGAATTACAATAAAATGTACCACATTTTCCTTAGTGGAGGCATGTGGTGTTTTTTCCCTGATTCCTCTTTCATCACAGCTGATACTGTCCCCCCAACCCCCTCTCCTCCCTGTCCTTAAAGTCTGGGCTTCAGCCCCTCCCTGGGTCCTTGTCACCACAGGTTAAGTCTGAATTTGCAAGCATACCTGTCCCTCTTTGCTCATTTATCTGCAACTGCTGTCCCCAAACATTTCCTGCAGTTCCCTCTCTCCTTTTTTGGATACTGTTTCTCCTTTTCTGTTTAGACAGCAGATTTAAAACACAAGAAGATGCATGAATACACGTGTACCCACCCCCAGCTCTCCCAAATGGTAATAAATTTTTCTTGCTTCAGGTTGTTTTTGTTTTTTGAAGAAGCAAGACATTACCTGCACCCTTCCAAGTACTAGGCCACTTCTTCTTTGCCCAGAGGTGGTCAGTATTCTGATTTTGGAGTCTGTTCCACAAGTATTTTTGTACTCTTGCTATATATGTACGTACTAAGAACAGTATAAAGGTCTGTTGATAGATAGCTTTTTTGTTTATTTCTCTTTGCGATTATGGTAAAGTGTATTTACTATACAGTGTACTGTCTTAACTGCCTCTGTACCGTTCAGCAATATTACATACTCACTTTGTTGTGCAGCCATAAAACTGAAATTGTGCACTCATTAAACAATGTGTTTTAAAATTTTAGCATTAATTGATGCTTGTAGCTCTGATTCTTTCATTTTAATTGCAGCAGCATTGTGTCATGTCTTATGCCATGTTATGTCTGGGTTGTTTCTAAATTGTCACGGTTAGAAATCACAGTACGTGAGTGTTCCTGCCTTTCTGTAGCCTGGGGCCAGCATCTCTGTAAATGTTGTCAGTTTCCTCCCGAAGTAGTTGTGCCAGTTTATTCCAGCTTCAGCAGTGGAAGAGCCTTCATCTCCATATCTTTGTCAAACCAGGTGTTGCCAGACTTAACATTTTTCAGTCTGGTGGATGGTCTTTAGGGTTTAATTCTTGTTTTCCCAGGCAGCCAGAGTCGTGGCTGAGGTTGGCCTTTGGAACTCATATCATGTATATGGGCCTTTTTGTTTTTTTCCTTTAATGAAAATCTCAGACTAAGGGCTTAAAATATTTAAAATTGTTAAATAATAACAGTAACACCACCACGCACACATAGACACGCAGAATAAAGGCAAGTGGAACTAACAGGAAAAGGCTCAGAGATGGCCAGCGATCGAGGGCAGCTTTTGCACACGCTGCAGCATTCATAGCCCCACAGCGCCACCTTGTGGTGTGTTCTTTTTGCAGACATTGGTGGGGGTGACATGAAGCCGGAGCACTCCAGGCCTCAGCCTGAAAATAGAGCTTTCTGATATTTGTTTGAATCTTATACTTAAAAAAAAAAAACAGAACAATCTTAGCTGCTGTAACCCTTTAAATGTTAACATTGCCGGTAATCTTAGAACTGTTTTCCCAGAATGCTGCTTTGAGAAATGGTGAGAAGTTTAGCAGTCACTAGGTTTATGCTTTTATGGCACTTACATAAAAAGAAACATTATTTTTATATTTTTTACTTTGTAGTTTTGGATGCTTATAAAGCTCTCCTGAGTGAATTGTTTTTGAAAAGGAGGAAAGGAAATTACACACAAATTTAGAATTTTTCTTGTGGAATGATTTCATAGATGGTGAGGGTGATCAGGCTCCTTTAATATTCTTTTAAAAAGCAGGTCAGGAGCAACAAGATGGTGGAGATTCTGACAGTGGCTGTTGTTCCAGGGTATGTGCACAGTGTATGTGCATAGAAACTCTCAGCTCAGGGACTCCTTCTGGGTCAGTCTTCAGGAGTGCAGAGAGCTTGAATTTTCACAAAACGTAGGTCAAGATGAATGGAAACTTTTTGTAATTTTTCTTAATGTGAGCACTAAAATGATGAGAGTCATCATTTATCCTGTTTGAGATCAGTCACCTTACAGTGACTCTGTCTCTGTGAAGTAGAAACTGTGGTGGTCTCACTTCTATAGATGAGGAAACTGCAGGGGCCCTGCCATAGAGGCAGCAGCACTGGGAACTGGCTGGGGGCGTTCGGAGGCCTGGTCTGTGCCCATGGTGCTGCCTGGAGAACTTAACGCTTAAGAGGGACTTTGGTTTGGAAACTGGGCTTTAATACTGGGTCTGACATGACTTAGTACAACAACAGCTGCTGCCACTTAAAACTGTGTGACCTTGAGTAGGTCCCTTAACTCCTTCCAACTGTAGTTTCCACAACTGTAAAATGGGTGCTTTTAGGATCAAATGGGGTAATTCATTTAGTGCAGAGGGTACACTAAACAAGTGGTTATTAATAGTTATTATAGTTGTAATAATGCTTACTATTGTTTTGTGGTTTATGACATATTCATGTTTCTGTGGCCCAGAATTTTAAAGCACTTTTTCTGAAGCACAGTGCATAAAGTGGCTGCTGTTTCGAAGTTACAGTACTTACTGGCTTTTCATTATTTGTCTAGAAGGACTACTATGAATTAGTAACTGAAAGAGATGTTTTAGTTGCTCTGCAGCATGTGGGGTCCTCCTGGACCGGGGATCAAACCTATGTCTCTTGCATTGGCAGGCGGATTCTTTACCACTGAGCCACCAGGGAAGCCCTGAAAGAGATATTTTAGTTTCAGCAGGAGAGATAAGTTATGCAGAATGACAGCCGCCTTTAAAGAGATGTCACTCTTTTTTCCTGCTTCATAGTTGTGTGTGTGTTTTCTTTTGAGAGTGGGAAAGGAGGGAGGGAGGCAGTGCTCCAGAGCCAGCGGAGGGGTCTTGGTTGTTCTCAGGACTTGTGCAGTGGGGCTGGGGAGTGTTTCAGGCTGGATGCTGTTGAGAGCTCGCAAGACCACAGGGTCCATCCTCTGGAGAGGCCAGGCCAGTGATCCTGAGAGAGGCTGTGATAAAGTCACATGCTGTATAACCAGCCCTGCTGGTTCCAGGGGTTGGAGGTCAGGATGGTGATGGTGGCAAAACTAGGTTCAGTGGAAATGAGGGGGTGGGGACTGTGAAAGGCTGGGGTTCTAGGCAGAGGGGAAGATTTGAGAAATAGAGTGATGAGGTCTAAAGGGTTCAGAAGTGAAGGTGTGAGAAGGGCTGTGAAAGTGTTGCTGGGTTGGGCCAGGGTGGGACAGACTTGTCATGGGAAATTACCCACCAGGAGGCTGGCTCTCCAGCCTTGGACCTGCTCACAGGGGAGGCAGGACATCGTGGTTATTAGGCAGCCAGCAGATTCTGTGAGGACCAAGGGTGGGGTCAGCATTCTAGAAAGTAGTGCCTCTTAGTTCATTTTTACAAATGGAACGTAATTCTCTTTTTACAGATCACTAGAGAGTATGTGCTAATGCAGTGACACTTTTATGGACTTTCTGGTCGTGCCTGTTTACCTGATGCGTTGTTCTTGGCAGAAATCTCAATTATGGAAAAATAATCACTTGTTATGATTCCCTTATGATTGATTTATGTCACTGTAAAACTGATGGGTTAGGTGTTTATATACATGTTCTGTGCTGCTCTTATGTTTGGAACCGTGCTGTCTTTAGCTTTTTTATTTTGAAGAGTTATTATTATTAGATTCAGCATTTCCTGGGACAGAACACTTTTTAAAGAGCATTTTGTCTTTTTGGTAAATAATTTTTAACAGTTAATTTGGGAAAAGCTGAATTTGATTGTGTGTAGCCCTTATAATTATGAGCTACTTACATTGGCTTCCTTTTGTATAGGTGTTAAAGTTCCTCGTAATTTTCGTTTGTTGGAAGAACTTGAAGAAGGACAGAAAGGAGTGGGCGACGGTACGGTCAGCTGGGGCCTGGAAGATGACGAAGACATGACACTCACAAGGTGGACAGGCATGATCATTGGGCCACCACGGGTCAGTGAACACGTTTATTTCCTATGGATGTTTATTGTAACTTTAGAGTATGCATTTCATTTTATGTTATTGATATTAAAGTAAATAGTTAAGGTAACTAACTGAAACAGTTCCTCACTTTTTACTTATTTTTTGTACATTTGTTGATGCTGTATTTTCTGGAGGAGTTGGGGGGAAGACTGGTCTGATCATTGCTCTCAAAGTGTTTGCAGTTCAATAGGGGAGAAGGCATGAATGCCGACGACAAACTGAATGTGGCAGAGCGAGTTCACTGTGAGACTGTAGAATATGTCTCTTCTAGCTGGAATGATTGAGGAAGGCTGGACAGTGGAGGAAGTTGCCTTTGGAGTGCCTAAAGGACTGGCTGGTAGGATTTCAGAAGGTGATGATGGGGATGGAGAGCATTCCAGATAGAGAGGAGAAAAGGTGAGGCACGGAGTGGAGGGGTGTTTGGGAAGAGCCAACAGTGTGCTGTGATGTAACATGCTGCTAACCAGCCGTGTGTATCAACAGGGTTCCTAAACTGGTTTGTGTTGAGTGCACATTGCTGTTGGCCAGTGACAGTAGATTGGCCTTGGAAATGTTCTGGCTTCGACGTCTTCACCTGTAAAATATGTCGGAAAGGCTGATTCTTGCATGTTTCCTAGTGTTGTTGGCCAGAGACCTATTGTTTCATTTTTAGGTCTTTCTCAAGTTCATGACTTTTTATTTTAACTCAAAATTTTTTTTAAATTGGGAAATTTTTTTGTACCTTGCATTCCTCACTCAAAGGCCCCATTTGCTGTATGCCCTGCAGCAAGTCTTTTAAATACATTTTGTATGACCTTTGACTTTGTTAGAAAGAACGCAAATTTGAAGTTTCTTTTTAGTCTTTGGTTTTGTGTACTGTTTGCTACCTGTAATGGGACTATTTCAACTGTTTTGCTGTTGGGTAGAATTTAGATTTTTTGATTTTTATAAAACAAAAATGGTCAGGTAATTAGCATTGATAACTTCAGACAGATGTTTGTTTACCGTTTTCTGGTATTCCTTTGTAGAATTCGTGCGTTCTCCTAAAGTGCACTAACAAGTTCCCTCTTCCACTGCTTTGATTTTTCCATTAGACATGTAAGGAAGGAAATAAAATGCTGGTGTTTAAAATTCTTGTTGTTTTATAACTCAGTATTTGTAATGAAAACCTTGATTTTTCACTACCTGTGAACAGTATCACCATGGTCTGTTTGGTAAAAGTAAGTGCTTATAACTTTTGAGGATTCTTACTAATGAGTAACTTAAAGATTGGACAGTCTGAACTGAGTGGAGTATGCTTTCAGAATTACCTAGATTTTTTTCTTGTTTAAGTATTTGTTTTTGGCTGTGCTGGATCTTCACAGCTGCCTCGGCTTTTCTCGCTGTGGAGGGTGGCGGCTACTTTCTCGCTGTGGTGCTCGGGCTTCTCCTTGCTGTGACTTCTCTTGTTGTGGAACACAGCTCTAAGGCTTGCAGCACGTAGGCTCCAGAGTTGCGGCACGCGGACTTAATTGCTCCGTGGCATGTGGGATCTTCCCGTATCAGGGCTCGAACCCACGTCTTCTGCATTGGCAGGGAGATTGTTTACCACTGAGCCACCAGGAAGTCCTGAAATTACTTAGATGTGGTTTTTCTCCCATTTGTTCCTCTGAGGGAACTTGAAGAGTGTTGGAGTTTGTGTAAAGTAAGACCCTCAGCCCCATAACCTAGTTTGCAGATACCTCTCCCAGTTCGGGCCATCTGCAGGACCCGCGCACTAGCTCTTCCCTGGTGTCACTGCACCACAGGACGACTCTGTGTCCGGCTGTGCCCACTGGGGGCCTGGCTGTTGTCAGGTAACATGGGGGTGGGCCAGCTGACAGCGTTCCAGAGACAGGTTTGCCTCCTGCTGCTTTCTGTGGTGGTCCACTTGGAGCCCCTTCCCCTTCTTGTGGTACAGGAGGGCCCAGCCTGAGTGGATCCTGTCCTCCAGCCAGGCTTCAGCCGCCTCGCTGAGCTGGGGGCCTAGGGGGAGGGTTGTGGTCCCAGCATTCGTTCAACTGCCTTTTAATTAATCTTGCAGGAGCTGGCATCTCATCTTGGTTGGTTTTTCTTTTCAGGGTACCAGATTTAGAATAGTTTTGTCCCAGCTTTAGGGTAATGTGAAAATTGCTACCTTAACATTCTGTTGCTTGGTTAGTTGTTTCTTGTTTTTTATGTTATTAAGATCCCTGCTTGCTTTATATTATGCCAGTATTTATTTGGATTTATATAATTAGCAGTTTTGTTTTTCCATGTTTGTTAAATTTTTAGCATTAGAGATTTAGTAACTTTTCCAAGTTTACTTTTATGTAAGTGAAGTGCCGTAACATGTAGTGAAATGCATAGGTCTTACCATGACTTTGAACAGGTGTATCTTATTACCTGCACCTGTGTCGAGATACAGAGCATTTCTGTCACCCTAGAGAGTCCCTTGCCCCTCCGCGACCCCAGAGCTGACCCAGTCACTGCTTCCTACGCCCTAGAGTCCTGCCCGTCACAGAACTTGGTGCGAGTGGAATCATGTAGCGTGTGTACCGAGAGGCCTGCTCCTTTTGACTGGTGCCGCTCCTCAGGTTCATCCATGTCGTTTCATCCACGCGCTGCGTGGTGGTTTGTTTCTTTTTATTGTGGTGGGGATATGCCACAGTGTTTGTCACTTCCCCGATCGTGGTTTTCTCTGGTTACTGCGAATAAAGCTGCTGTGATTACAGGTCATCTTGTGAACATCGTGGTTTTCTCTGGTTACTGCGAATAAAGCTGCTGTGATTACAGGTCATCTTGTGAACGTAGGTTTGTTTCCATTTCTCTTGGATCAGAAATACCTAGGGATGGAGTTGCTGCATAGTAGGGGAGTTAGGGGAGGGGAGTTGAATGTGTAGTGAAATGCGTAGGAAAAAAATGCCTTATTTTTTCCACAATAGTTATACCATTCCCTATTCCTAGCAAAGTATGAGAATTCTGATTGTTTCCATGTACTTTGAGTACTTTTAAGAGTAAGATTTTTCAGGGGCTTTTTTTGGTTTTCTTTTCCTTGTAGTTGATTTACAGTGTTGTCTTAGTTTCAGATGTACGGCAGAGTGATTCAGTTTTATCTACCTATGTGTCTATTTTTATTTCAGATTATTTTCCCTTAAAGATTATCACAAAATACTGAGTATAGTTCCCTGTGCTGTATAGTGGGGTCCTTGTTGGTTATCTAATTGTTATACTTTTACTGCAAGTTCTAGAGAGGCTGGTATGCATGTGAGTGGAGAGCAACAGACAGGTGTCTCCTTGACCTTTTTAGTTCTTTTTAAGCCTTCCCGGGTCCTGGGCATCCTGTTAATATATGCTTGCTGTTAAACTTAGATGAGTTTTCTATAGCTGTTTAGTTTTTAAAAATACTGAAACATTTATTAATATATGTACAAGATTGTTGTATACATTTTAAACCATGGTTATTAACACCTGAGATCCACCCCCACTGGGGGGATCTCTTTATGTGAGAAAGCTGTGGATCCATTGGGGTGACAGATCCATAGATGGTCAGCTTCTTTTTTTCCAGATTTATACAAGAATCAACAGGTATTAAATTTGTCACTTTCATTTATGTTTTTCTTGTTTTAATTGTATACTAACTGCATTTTTGCTAGCCATATAGATCAAATAAATTTGTTGAAAAATAAATTCTTGATCACACACATGGCAATATTAAGTACATTTATCTTGTGCTTTTCCAGTTTATTAGCGCTTGAATATTATTGTTATTATTTCTGCCTTCCAGACAAATTATGAAAACAGAATATATAGCCTGAAAGTAGAATGTGGACCTAAATACCCAGAAGCTCCTCCATCAGTTAGATTTGTAACCAAAATTAATATGAATGGAATAAATAATTCCAGTGGAATGGTAAGTTAAAGTAGTTATTTTATTTTTACACAACCTATAAGTTTATAGTCAGGAGAACATTAAAACAGCAGAGAAGCAAGTGGAAGCTGTTTATTGGGTTGATAACCCTAGTTAGTTGAGTATTTTTATTATGAAAGATTGTTGGATTTTGTCAGAAGCTGTTTTGTGAATGTGGAGATAGTCATGGGTTTTGCTTTTGTTCTGCTAATATGGTGTGTTATATTTTTTGTTTTTTGATTTTTGTTGTTATATTGATTTTTGTTTTTTTGACTTTTGTTGAGCCAGCCTTGCACTTCCTGGATAAATTCTACTTGGTTATGGTGCATGATCAAAATATCTGTGTGTTGATCAGGGTCAGCCATAGGTGAGCGTTTATGGCTTTCTCAGGCGTTGAAGCCTGTGTGCAGCCTTGCACACGTGTGTGTCTCCTGGACTCTCAGGTGTGTGTGGGACTTTGTAGACTCACTGGACATCTCCTCTCCCAGTGTTTCCTGTGGGGTCTTTGGTCCCCTTCCTGCTTGCCTTCTTGCTGCTGCTTCAGGCAGTAGAACTATTAAAACAGTTTTTTCTTTAATTTAAAAAAAAAATTGAAAAAAAATTGTATTTTTTATTGAAGTATAGTTGATTTACAATATTATATTTGTTTCAGATGTATAATATAGTGATTCAGTAGTTTTATAAATTATACTCCATTTAAAGTTACCACAAAATTATGGTTATCTTTCCCTGTGCTATACAACACATCTGTGGTGCCTGTGTATTTTCTACATAGTAGCCTGTGTCTCTGGTGTTACACATTGGACACTGGTTATTTTTGACAGGTACCAGGGTGGAGAGGGGGTGGTCAGGGAATAGGTGGTCCTCAGTGGGTGAGTTTCCAGGGAGCTGCCAGATAGGCCAGGTGACGGCAGGTACCTGTGGCTGAGGCTTTGAAGAGCTGTAGCCCCAGCCTGTCCGTCTCCCCCAGTGGAAGACGAGTTCAGCACAGTGCAAAGAGCACGCTGGAGTGGGATCTGAAAGCAGAAGTCAGGGTTACCGCTGTCTGCTGATCCCCTGGTGTGAGTAACTGCCCAGGCCTTGGATTGTGGCCCTAAGTACTGTGTGGACCTGTGGTTTTATAATAATGTTTGCTTTTCTGAAAATAGTGCCTGGCTGTTGGGCACTGAAGGGATTTTTAAAGCCCTTCTTATTAAAGTACATCTAGTAAATTGGTGCCCAAGTACTTTACACTTCGTAGTTAATTGTACTTTTTCCCCTCCTTTCAGGTGGATGCACGAAGCATACCAGTGTTAGCAAAATGGCAAAATTCATATAGCATTAAAGTTGTACTTCAAGAGCTAAGGCGTCTAATGATGTCCAAAGAAAATATGAAGCTTCCACAGCCACCAGAAGGACAAACATACAACAATTAATTTTAGTGGATCTCAAACTTGTCTTAAATCAGCAACCTTCTACTCATGTTAATGTCTTGATTAAATATCACAATGCAAAATACCCACACATTAAAGTAAGATAATTCCAGCTGGTAAACATGACCTGGACATTTGTAAGAATATATTTAATATATGTACACCCATTATGTTTTCAGGTAACAGGAGGAAAATTCAGCAGTCTTTTCTTGTTAAGGCACCACCACTTAAGCACGCACCTGGAGTCCTCACTGGAACTCAGGTTTGCAGGTGAGAGCACGGCAAGAAGTGTCGGCTGGCTGTGCAGGCAGGTGTGTTTCTGACGAGAAAGCCAAGAAGGAAACTCGAGTGGTGTGCTCCATCATCTTGCTTAGAGAAAGAGCTTCAGTTGAAATTGTCTAAAGCAGCAGGTACAATGAATATTGTCACAAAGTGTGTTCATTTTTGAAGCGGTATGGGTGCTGACTACTAGTAGTATCAAAAATATGTTCAGGATTGTTTTGATACCTGTATTTATAATAAAAAATGTTGTGGGGAGGTGGATGAATTTCTGTTACAAGCTGTTCCTGTGTGTTCCATGTAACAGATGTGGTAAATATTTGTTTACAGTCTTTGTTGGACAGACCATGCATTTACGTTTAAATGAGATCAAAAAGGAATTAGGTGTATGGATATGTGGTTTGGAGATTAAAATTAGTCTTAAATTGTAAATAAAATGTGGAATGTGTCTTCAGAAACGGTGCCATTTCTGTTATATTGATGTGTGTGTACAGTAACTTGCTGAGATTGCAAAAATTGGAATTCTTGTAGCTGTTCATCTATACACACTTCTCATTATTTATCCCATATGGTATACTTCTTGCAAATTGGAATTTGTAGAGTATTTCAGACTACAGATTTCCTAATAGGCTTTAATTTCTTGTTAGGAGGAATAATCCCAGGTATTATGTTTTCAACTTGATTTCACTAGAAATATTATTAAAAGAGATGTTCTAGCAGTTTTTATAAAATTTAGATTACAGATCATCCAAATATACATTCTAGTTTTCTTCATAGTATCTGCCCCCAGTGCTCTTAGTATTGACTGGGATTAATTTTGTCCACTTACTCTTAACTCTGGCAACTGTATAATTCTGAACTGACAGTTCACTTGTGCTCTGCTTTGACCACAGTGACTTGAGGCTTTGGGTCGCTGTTTTTCATCTCATGGCACTTGGGTGTACTGCTTTGTTGAAAATCTTTCCTTCTTACGAGTTCTGTTTTCTGAAGAAAATAGACAGGTGGTCATGTAATAAGAACTTATTTCTCAAACAACCCCAACATGTTTTTATCAAGTGCATTCAGAGGTAAAACTCTGAGCTACCTTTTCTTGGCCAGAATACATTAAAGTCAGCAGCACTGTATCTAAATTTACTAATTTCAGTATGACTTTAAATATCAAAGATGTTTAAAGTGACACATAAGAGAATGTATACATACATACTAGTGCATGTGTACTTTGTTAAAAATAGGTTTGAAATGGACTGTAACCTTGGCATACATTCTTAAAAAAATTTTTAGTGGTTGAGATTAAGTGGAATCCCACTGACATCCTATGTGAGAGTGGTGGTTCCTGATGGTCTGGACTGGTGTGTAGTGGCCCCTTTCGTAGGGAGAGTGTGTCCTATCCTCCGTGGGCGCCAGTAACCACCTGAATGCTGTTTGTGGTTTCCACGCTAGTGAGCTGAGCACCTGGGCACCTTGACCTCTTGTCTCCTCATTTTCCCACATGCAGTGTTGTGAAGGCCTTCCCGCACCCCCCCCCCCAGGTGTGCATTGCCTTTGAAAGGCCAGCAGGTAAGACCCTCGGAGATGATCATATGTTAATAAAAATTGCATAAGTCAAGTGTTTGTCCTGTTAGGTCAGTGTTATTCTTGAATGGTTTTAATTACTAATTTTCAGAATCCCTTATTTTAAAAATATTTTTTCTAGTATTCAAAGGCATTTGTTGCAGGTTTATGTGCGACTTTTCAGGATTTTGGAACATAAACTTTCGTTACAGGTAGTCAGTGGTGTTTGATCTTTTGGGTATAAAATAGAAAAAGTTATTTTAAATAATCTCTAAAGGAATTTATCACTTCAAATTTGAGTAATTGTGTGGAGAATTGGTTTGACTTGCATATAGTTTATAGTCTGGATTACTTAATACCGATTCATTGACTTAAATACTTTCCACTAAGTACATATTGTTATTGATAAATACACATGAAATTAAATTGTTTTGAAAATTTAGAGGACACAGTTGGAAAATATCAATGTATTTTCCAATCTAGATGTGGTGCGTCGTGGCGCGGGTGGCTTTGGAAGGAGCCTTGTGAATTGTTGGCTTTGGTCAAAGTTGTGTTCTTTCTGATGGGCACACGGCCATGCTCTCATGTCAGAAGTATGTGTGATACCGTCTGGTGTCATGAGTTACAGGATTGGTGAGTTACTTAAGGGATTCCCGCCCCCCCCCCCATTTCCTTTTATATTTTTTAGACACATATGTATGGCATTATAGTATAATTAATTGCTGGGAAGGATCTAAAAGGTACTGATTTCACTTTTCTATCAGAAAAGTATGAAGTACAAATATGATTTTCCAATAACAACTTGGTTGGCCTTTGGTTATATTCACAAAAAGAGTCTGGGTCCTAAGATTTTGGGAAGTATATATATTTTGTATATAAAAATAGAAGCATCATGAAAAGCAGTGGATGCAGTGTGTTACAGGATTGATAGGAGCATTAGCAGTTAATTCCTTCCCAGTACTGTTTTTATCCAAATGCAGGAAGTATATGGAAATAGAATGTCTTTTATGCTAAATTAATATGCCTCTGAAGTTACTAAACCATAGATGGAAATGTTATTATAAGTCATACTGAAAATGTTGGTTATTGTATAAGTATAGTAGAGTACGGAAAAGAAAAGGTACACCACAAGTATTTTCTGAAGAGAAAGGTATTGAAGGTATTTGATGACAGAAAGTAAATGACAAGTCAAAACCATCATCCTGTGAATTAAGGGAGTTTGAGGAACTCATGGAGTGAGTATGTCATTTAAAAAAAAGCAAAAAATCACTGGATCTGAAGAGATTGCCCATGGAGTTTACATCTTTAATAGGACAGTCTCACTAAAGATTCCCTAAAGGTCTGCTCCATCTCATTTTCACATGCAGTCTGAAGATCCATACAAGATTTTATCTTCAAGTTCATTTATCAAGTCGGTGATTAAAGCCAGATGGATTTCACTTCTTATAGTCCAGGAATTGTCCTCCCTCCAGTGGTGACTGACCAGATAGCGTGTCAGGACTGGGCACTGACTCCTCTGCTCTGGATGTAGACTACTGTGAATCCCTTCATCTTTTCTTTGTTCCGTAAGAACAGTTGCTGACATCTGAGGTTTTGGCAGCCAATATATTATAAAGTGAAGTTAATATTCCACCTTCAATGGAGGGCTAATTATTGACAATGAGAAGCCAGCAGAAGTCAGAAACCTTTGGGCAGTAAAGAAGCTGACTGTTGAATACATTGAGAGTGAAACTTTGCATTGCTTGTTCACTGCACTTGAGTAATTAAATATTGTTCAGAAGTTATGGGGAAACACTGCTAACTACTGAGTGGATAGTTTTCCTGTATCTAATCTAATATTTTTTTTTTTTAAAACAGGCACTTAACAGTAGATAACTTTACCAAGTTCTGAAGATTAACCGAGTAAAATGAGGTTTTGACGTGACACCTGCATTAAAATGTAAAGTTGGTTACAGTACTTACTGTCATGCTTTTGGGTCTGAAGACTCACTGTTTTCCAGTCAACAAACCAGGTCATTGTGAACCTGTATTACACAGGGTGGAGTCTTATAGCCTGTGTGGTTTGTCTGTCCTTAACATGAGAGAAGAGTAGATTTTCTCTGCAGTTGATAACTGACAAAGAGAAATGTCTTGTCTGACTGCTTCTTAAGCTACATTGTCCAGATAAATAGTGATCAGATTATATCCACTAACATAGATTATCTTTTTATTACTATAATTCAAAAAATCATCTGAATACCCAAGTGAAAAAATTGAGTTCACAAGAAAAATGCAGTATCTAATTGCCTGGGTTTCTTTACCTTGAGTACATATGGACTTCCTTAAGGAGAAAAATAATTCTTTTGGACTCAATATTGTTTCGAATTATTTTTGTTAAAATATTGTTTAATGCATAAAACTGTTAATGCAAATGTATATACTTCTTAGTCCTATAAAATTATAAAGCCCAATAAAATTATAAAGGTTACACAGTAATTAAAATGTAAAAGACTTTAATACTGAAAATGTTTTATTGAATTAATCTCTACTTGAAATGTAAATATTATTGTCTCTCCTTGGCTTTCTGTTGTTATCATGTCTATACTATGTGCTGCTGGACCTTAGTTTTTTTTTCTTTATCTTTTTTCTCTTGCCAAACTGGTACAAAAAAACCTTTTTTGTGTTATCTGACCTTCATTTGGTATAAACACACTTCTGCATTAAGTCCCCCTCTGTGCTGTTCTTTACCAGAGAACTAGAAGTCCTGAGTTTTTGGCTTTCACTTTTTGAGACCATAGTTCTTTTAAACTCTGGGTTCTCGAGAATGACCGTGATACTCACTCTGTTCATGGCCCTGTATAGACATAAACATAATCTGTGATTGGTGATGGTCCATAAATTGATCTGTTAGTAACATCGTTTTAAATCTGGGTGCTACGGTTTAATCCCTTGTATGTTACACCTAAGTGTTGCGATTCCCCATGCTTAGTGCTGAATGCATTCATTGGTTTAGAAAGTAAACCGCAGGTGAACTCGGCCCTCCCTCTGAGTCTGTCATCCATGGCTTTCTGGTGCGTCCCCCTCGCCTGTGGTCTCTGTGTCTCCCTCTCCGTCAGCCCACTCCTGTGCTCCGTCCTCTCAGCTGCTCTTCCATCATCCTGGATGTGCTCTCTGCACATCAGCTCTCACCACAG